CATCCTCTCGGCTCCTGAGACTACACACAGAGCTTCGCTCACCCCCAGCTCAGTTTTATAATCACATTAGCACATGCTCATCCTTGGTGTTGCTGCAGAAAGAGTCTCTTGTGAGTAAACATTGGCTCCTTCTGCACGTTTCACTTTTTAATTAGCCAATTAGCAGAGTTTCGGTGCAGAAAGCCCAGGTCATGTATTATTGATAGTCAGGGCAGGTCCAGTCCAACTGAAGATCCAGGGAAAAAAAAAGGCAAAAAAAAAAAAGCTTTCTAATTCTATTGGCCTCCCAGGCACACTGCACTCGGCTGCCCTTCATCTTGCTTCCAACCTTTACATGAGCGAGTCCCATGCAAGGCAGAGAAAAGAAAAAGCTTACAAGTATCTTTAGTAGGATTTACACGATCAAGATGTAGAAGAGCAATAATTATGTGCATTAATAATACAGAAGAAACTGCACCTAAAATGCTACAAAACTTTTTGTATTCAAGCCCAAGGAGCTCTGGAAGCTCAAGATGGCAGCTCAGGCAGCAGTCGTGCAGGCCAGCCTAAGGTTACCCAAACTGGGGAGATCCCTGTGCCTGACCACGCAGACAAGGGGCTGCCTGAAAACACAGATGGCTCCACGCTCGAGCGTGGTAATAACCTACCAGAGAGACGAAGAGCAGTTACTGGCCTTAAAATAGAAAAGAGAGCTGGGGGAAAAGTGAAGTGCTGCAGAACTAGGGAAATTATCAAACTACCTGCCACGTGGCTATCGGCATGCTCCGGGGTGTGCTGGAAGAAGGAGGCAGGCGGGAGCATGGAGAGCCGTAGCTGCGAGAGGGAATGGCAGAGGGGAACGGGAGCTGCTGGGGCTCAGGGCTGAGCTGGGAAGTACAACTGCAATCCTGCCTGGGAACGTGAGCTAAACCTCACAAGTGCAGAAGGGATTTTGCTAAAGAAATAAATAGATCCCTGCTCTACTGGCAGTACCGCCTGCACCCGAGAAGGAGCCACAAATGACGAGAAGGCAGCGCAAGGCCATCCACAGGGCCTCGGGCTGGCGGCCGGGCCAGCCCTGAGGTAAGGCTCACCCTGGGGGGTTTTCATGGTGTCCCTCGGGGCCCATCCCCGGGGCCTCTGGGTGGCACTTGGGGCCCATTCCTGATGTAAAGGCCCATCCCCGGGGCCTCTGGGTGGCTTGGGCCCATCCCTGAGGTAAAGGCCATCCCTGGGGCCTCGGGCGGCACTTGGGCCCATCCCCGGGGCCTCGGGGCCCATCCCTGAGGTAAAGGCTCATCCCCGGGGCCTCAGGGCGGCACTTGGGGCCCATCCCTGAGGTAAAGGCCCATCCCCGGGGCCTCAGGGCGGCACTTGGGGTCCATCCTCTGAGGTAAAGGCTCATCCCCGGGGCCTCAGGGCGGCACTTGGGGCCTTCCCTGAGGTAAAGGCCCATCCCGGGGCCTCAGGGCAGCTCTCGGGGCCCATCCCTGAGGTAAAGGCCCATCCCCGGGGCCTCAGGGCGGCACTTGGGGCCCATCCCTGAGGTAAAGGCTCATCCCAGGGCCTGGGGGCGGCACTTGGGGCCTTCCCTGAGGTAAAGGCCCATCCCTGGGGCCTCGGGGCGGCACTTGGGGTCCATCCCTGAGGTAAAGGCTCATGCCTGGGGGTGGCACTTGGGGCCCATCCGTGAGGTAAAGGCTCATCCCTGGGGCGTCGGGGCGGCACTTGGGGCCCATCCGAGGTAAAGGCTATCCCTGGGGCCTGGGGCGCACTTGGGCCTTCCCTGAGGTACCATTACGCCGCCACCCCCCCCGGCCCGCTTGGCCCGCGGCGTGGGCTCACCTCCTCGGTGGCGGCTGCGGCCGGCCGCTCGTCCTCCCGGGGGAAGAGCAGCAGCGCAGCGCTGAGGCCGGCGGCTCCCAGCGCCACCAGCGCCGCGGCGAACCTACAGGGACCGGAGCGGCTTCAGCACCGGGCCCGGCCCGATCCCCACCCTCCCGCCCTCCTTTCCCGCTGCTCACCGGGCCCGGCCGGCCGCCGGGAGAGCGCCAGGCAGAGCAGCAGCGCGAGCCCCAGATCGCCTGCAGCACCAGCACGCCGGGCCCCACGCCCAACGCCGTGACCGCCATGCCGCCCCGCCGCTGCCGCTTCCCCCTAGCAACCGCGCCGCGCCGCCGCCGCCCAGCCAATCAGCGCCTCACGCCGCTCGCCCGCACTTCCATTGGCTGCAGCGCGGGATGCGGGGCGGGGCCGCTGCTTTTCCCGCGCCGCGGGAGGCGGGCCGCGCCGACGGGTTCCGATCCCGATCCCGATCCCGATCCCAATCCCAATCCCAATCCCAATCCCAATCCCGGTCCGGAGCGGTGCTCCCGGTTCCCCGGCAATTTCCCCCCGCCCCGTTGCAGACGGATCGGTGCTTAGTTTAACGCAGCATCGCTTGTTTGCGGCGCCAGCCGCCTGCTGCGGGGAGCATCTCTGCTCGAGCAAGGTCTCAACCCTCAAAACCCGAAAGGTACCTGTCTTCACCTCCACAATACTTCACCTCCAAATGAAGCCCAAATCAGGTGGATTTGGTTAATGCAAACACAGCTGGGTTTTGCACTGCTATGGGACAGCCACGCTGATGGCCGAGGGCCTCCAAGACAAGCCGAAGAGGTTTGTCAGTGCACCAAGCATCTTTTAATACCCAGACAAGGAGGATTTCCATTTTAAACCCATTTTTTTTTTCTGACTGTTTTTAAATCCTATTTCTTCCCCATCACATCTCACCCATCAGACTCTGGCCAGTGTGGTTTGGTGGGTGACTTTATGCCAGTACTCAGGGCTCATCTACCAGTTAACCTGAAAAAATAAGTAGTTGATATATTCAGCTTTCCTCTCATCTGCTTGAAGTCTGATGATCTAACTGCATAAAATGTCATGTAACTGCTGTTTTCTTCCTGTCATTTCTTTCAATGGGAGGAATAAACCGGCGATTAATTATGCTGCGCAGCACCGACCTGCCTTTTCCTGCGATGGAATCAAAGTCACCAGTGTGACATCAACCAGTTCAGCAAGCAGAGCACAAACTGTCTCCGACACCTGCCTTTATTTGGCATCGAATAGGAACTGGCTGCCAACATATTAAAAGCGTATGTTTGATAGCAAACTCCTTCCCACACCATCTCATGCTGCTAATCCCATCAGAGAAGGTATTTTTTTCCCTGCAAACCCCACGTTGGCAATGTCCGTCTTCGCCAGCGTTTTTCCAACCCTTCTCTTCCATTATTCCCTGTGCTTCCTGCTTCTGTTGGCAATCAGAAATTGTAAATTTGTTTCTGTTGTTTGAGATCTCTGCTTGCTTTTCTGTATTTTCCCATTTCTTTGTAAAACCCAAATTTCTTCTTCATAGCCCTGTTTTCAAAGAGACCCTTCTCTTTCTGCCATTCCTCTTCCATCCTTTGCCTTTCCATCTAAAAGTGATAATTTTTGTCCATCAGCCAACAAGTCTTTTCCTTTACTAAAATTTCCCTTCTGTCATTTAGCTGTGGCTTTTACAATGACATCTTTAACCCATTCCCATTTGTTGTATCCAGTACAATCAGACTGATGGTAACTCAGGCACTAAGATCTGGAGTTGAAATGATGCCCAGCATCCAACACACACTCCAAAATATCCCTATAATATTTATTTATATGGCACATATAAATTGCAGCAGGGCTATTGTTTTTTTTTTTTTTGAGCACAACAGAGGCAAATCGTAAATCCACAGCTAAGGAACTGGGAGAAGGTAACCAGGAAAACCAACCTCATCAGTGTGATATTTCCAAGCACAACCTTCCTTAGAAGTTTCTTCAACCCATCTGCAATGAAACAGCATCCTAACGTCCTCCTCTCTTATCTCAGCCTCTCCCCTTCTCTCAGAAATGCCTTGGTGGGGTTTGCCTTATGGGACTGCTCCAGCAGCTGGTCAGTTGAATGCAAAGATTAGATTTTATGGCCGAAGAATAATTTACTGCTATCCTAAAATTAGCTTTTTTTTTTTTTTTTCTCAGCTTTTACCCACTAGCATCTGGTATCATTTACTCCTTGTGTCAGAGTTGCGTGGCACCTTTTAAAAAAAACCAACCAACCAACCAAAAAAACAGTAAAGGGGGGAAAAGTAATGCTGAATATAAAATGTGAATTTTAAAATGTAGTAAAGCAGCAGAAATTGAGAATTTTTGCATTGTTTGCTGCGATTGCATGAGTCTGGGAGAAACTTCATATTTGTGTGGTTTTTCCCAGGATAACAGCTCACGTGGGGACGTCTGCAGATCTGAGTTTTACCGAGACTTTTGACTTGCATCCAAAGCCTGGCTCTGATCAGATGCATCAAAACAATGACAAATGATGTGGTAACGATTAATTTCAGGTCCAACATATTTGATATCAATAATCTAGGTACCGTAAAGCCTTTACTGGCAAGGCTCTCAAGCAATACCACATTTTATGCGGTAAATAAGAAGCAGAGTCATCCGGATGCTGTTAGATGCTCACATCCCAGCAAAACCCAGTGCAAAGGATTTATTTGGACACCGATGGATGCGAGACGCTGTCCTGTCCTGGAGTGATTTGCAGGATACTTCATTGCCATGGGTGGATTTTCCCAGGTAAAAGATGATGGGGTTGAAGAATTTCTTGGCAAAGGCGTGAAAAAGATCCTGATGTAGGAATTAGACAAATAGCCTTGGCAAAGAGATGCAATTAGTGTTGAGGCTAATTAAATGCATGGCCCAGGAGGATGGAGAGGTCACCTTCCTTCAAGGTCTGCAAGGCAGGATCACATGGAGCAAAGCTCTTTTGTAAGACACCGCTCGAGGAGCAGCCCCTGGAAATGGTGTGGGTTTGGGTCAAGATGGTCTTGTTTGGGTTAAAAACTGAAATCCATCATGCCCAGCTCATGCCGGTGGCCAACATGACCAACATGGTCTAATAAAAAATGATATTAAATGATCAAACTCTTGGTGGCAGAGTTGGAAGTGCTGGGGGAATTGATTTAAAACTCTTTGTGCAGTCGTAAAACTTGAAGTTTTACAGCTGGAGCTCCCCGATGCTCAAATATTAGAATTAAAAAGAAACAGTGTTGATGCAAGCAAGAAAATATTCCGCTCCTGATTTAAAGACTAGCAAATTGCTAAATATTTTTATTAGTGGCAAATTTGCAGCTTGCTGGAACTAATTTCACGCCCGGTAGATATGGAGCTTAAGCTGGGGATGGCGTTAAATTACTCTCTTGTAAAGGTATTTAAGCCTTATGATGGGGATGCCGTTAGATGGTGGGGATCTGGCTGGGGACCCCCTTTTTGGGGTGACTCCTTGTGGGTTGGGAGCCCAGGGATGATGGCCGGGGAAAGCTGAGCTCTTGCAGCATTAGTATAAACCCATCGTTTCCCCTCCCAGGTACGATAGGAACCACCAACCCCCCTCATTTGCATAAATTTGCTTACAGAGGTTTACTGCAAACTGGTGCAGGAGTGGGATGGTCATGGGGCCCTGGGATCCTCCAGCATGGAAAGATGCTATTTATATTTTAGGGGTATTTCTAGCATATTTTGGAGATTATGTAGGATATTCAGGGTTTAGTTGATTTAATTAATTTTTAAATTTATTTAATTGATTTGAAAAATTTATTTAGTTGATTTCAATTGCTTTTTAAATTTACAATATTCCAGGTTTAAATGATTTAAGAGATGAGTAAAGGTGAACACTGCTGGATCCTTGAGTGCCAGTCTCCCTCTGTGCCAATTATTTCCACGTCTTCTTTGTTGGCTGGAGATTTTACACCTTGAAGATGGTTTTCCAGCCCAAATCCCTCAGTCCTCCTTCTGCAAAGCCTCTGGGTGCACCAGTAACCTTCTTTTTTAATACAATGGGCAACATCCATCCTGTATTGGTTTGCCCAGATACAAACTGGGACAGGTGCAGGGACGGGTTGGAGGATGTGGAGCCTGGGAAAGCAAAGCGAAGGCGTTGAGAGGATCTAATTACCCTCTAAAAATACTTCTGGGAGGGTGGTAGTGGTAAACAAGAGCTATTTAAATCCCCTGGTCCACTCTATGTGATAGAAATACATGAAGTTAAATAGTTCTCTCTGACTTCTTGGAGGATGTGTATGGCCAAGAAGTTCTAAGTTGCCCTTTTCCAAAGAGAAATCCCTAAGAAAAGAAAAGTTAAAATAATAGGAGAGGGTTTGTAATGGCTCCAGTGGGGATACAGCTCTCTCTCGCAGGAACCCACTTTGGATTATCTTTCTCTTGCTGATGGCGGAAATCAATTTTAATCGTCCTGACGGGAAATGAGGATGTAAGACTTCAAACAGAACAAATACTGCAACATTCAAAAAAAATAAAGTGGGATATGAAGTCACTTTTAAAATGAAAAAAATCCCACCCCAGCAAGAGGAGATGCCTCTAAAAGCCCTGAATGGCCCTGGTTGGTGGGAGGTGGAGCAGCAAAGCATTTCCCATGGTGGGACAAGTCCAAACCTAACCGAGAAGCACTTGGATGGAGGAAGACGGGGTGTCTCTGTCATCACCTGTTTTGGTTCAAAATGCTCCCAAATGGGAGGAAGTTGGTTGGTTTTTGGTTTTGGTGGCTTTTTATATTAAATGCAATTTTAATTCAGGCCAGTAAATTTGTACATCAATACAAATAAGACTTTTGCTACTTGGCTCCCTGAACTTCAAGCAACTGCAGAGTGATTTCCCTAAAAATCCTGTAGTCATCTTCTGGGTATGTTAAATGTCATCATGCGCATAGAGGGTGACATTTCCCCATGGGATCAACACCCCTGGGTGATATCATGACAAAATCTGATCCAGTCAAAGAGAGGAAGGAGGAGAGAAATTACCTGAGAGACTTGAATGACATTGTAGAACCCTCCCTGGGTGCTGCAAGTGATGGAGCAGAGGCAAAGGTAAAGGAAGGAAGCAAAGAACTGATTGAAAACAAATATAAGAAGGTTGAGGAAAAAGAAAGGCAAGAACAGGGTCTGGGAAGATGCTAAAAATTAAAA